ATTATTTTAAAATTGCCATCTTCAATTTATTTGTATTTTCTTTTATCCTTTGAAGCATACATAGTTATTTTAATGGCAGAAATTAGCTGGAAGAGCATATATATTTGAGACTTGGGTCGACAAAGATCCCATTTCAAAACCCCAAATATTTGAAGAATCAGATCCAACAAAATGACAAAACAAATATATTTATTTATTTATTGTCCACCCTCGTCTATTTTCCCTTTTGGGATGAAATTATTATATGGATCCGGTTTACCACATCTTTTGTGGTATTAGCAAATAAGACTCGTTCATCTTAAGGTAACTTTTAAATAACTATTCACTCCTTATTTATATATTGGAAAGAGGTAAAGTGAACTTAAATAAATGAAATAGATGAATTTTATTGGCTGAAACTATAGATAACCTTACAATATGATTTCATCTAATTTCTTTTCCTTTTTGGGTGAGGAACAAACAGGCTCGTCGAAAACATGAACAAACAGGAAGATAATGGAACTTTATAAATATAAATTAAAAGCATCGACAAACTTTATCGGCAATATGCATTTCTCATAATTTCTTTAAATTAATTTCCCAAACAAATGTCTTTACTTTTAAAATATTGGATGACTATGCAGTGCTGACTGTTAATGAACCTTTTAATATTGTTTTATACATCATTTCCTTAAGGATAAAGTACACAAATGGTCTCTTAACTATAGAGCGGTTCTTTGTTAAGTCCCATGACTATCAAAAGTTACAAAATGGTCTCCGACCATAAGACGTTATTTTGTTGAGTCTTCCGACTATTAAATGTTACAAAATAGTCAGCCGACTATTCATATATTCTAAAAGCATCATTTTTTTGGTTAAAAAATTGACACACATATGAGTTGGACGTTAACCTACCGACTGAGATATAATAAAATCATATTTTAATGATGTCTACTGGCACCACCGTTGCTTTCGAGCATTGACTCACCAACATAATGTTTCAAGCATTGGTTCGACAACATAATATAAACGAAATATTTGATACATAAATACAACTAAAACGATTCTGAGATCAAATTTTATCATATCTTAGTCAATAGGTTAATATCTATATCATACGGTCGCCAATGTTTTAACGAAAAAGGACGAGTTTGTAACATATGAATAGTTGAGTGATCATTTTGCAATTTTTAATAGTTGAATGACTAAACAAAACAACGTCCTACAGTCGGAGGACCATTTTTGTAACTATTAATAGTTAGGAGATTCAACAAAGAAATATCCTATAGTCTAGGGACCATTTGTATACTTTACCCTCCCCTTAAATAGCTAGAGACGTTAAGAGCATTGTAAAAAACTATCTTAAACTTAAAAAAAATGCGATTTTTTCTACTTTATTTTATATACATCCTTTTTTATTATGGGAAATTTAGTTTATACTTCACTTCAAACAAGATTATTATTTGATACAATGATAGTGAAGTTGTTTACTCCATAAATCACCTTAATCTATCGTCATGTGTTTTATTTATTTAATTAGGGTAAACTACTCTAAATACTATAAAAGTTTAGGTTAAATATCGATTTTATCATTAAATTAAAAACTATCACGAATATAACATTTAATTTTAATTTTGACTTCAATTTAGTATTGGACTGTTAAAATTCAAATGACACGATGATGTGAATGTATCTTTTCATCACTGAATTTAAGTCCACTGACCTGTACAGGTCACCCATCATCTGCCACAATTGTCACTATCTCCAAGCGTCACCCACAACCATTGCGACCTCTATGAGTTCCTAAAACAAGTTAACATCCTTCGCAGTTGAATAAACAAGAGCACATCACCCATCTTACCACTCCCTTCCATCTCCAACAGCACTCGAACTTCACCTCTCCTCAACAATACTTACATTCTAAAGCTTCACCATATTTGTTTTTTCTCTTGCATCATACAACCACCATCGTCCACCAATGGTATTGTCAATCTCTGTTGGTAATGCTCAAGGGAGTATTGGTATTATATCCAGAATTGGGAGGAAACATCCCTTGTGAAGGGTATTTAAAGAGTCTCTCCTTCCCTCCCTTGTTGAATGCGGTTAAGTAATTTTCTCGCATGCGCACACGCGTCGTTGATTGGTTGGCTCGGTTTGGTGTTGTGGCTGTTGCAATACATGTTCACGTGAGTTCTATCTTTTTAGAACAAATTCGGAAGAATTTCTTTAAAATAACCTTTGAAAAAATGAAATGAAAATTTTAAATTGTATTCTTTACTAGTTGGAGTGATTTACGAAATTTATTTGCTATAATATAACAGCTGTAACAATTGTTTATTTATGTAGGATTAATTGTTGATATTCTACAGAATGTATTTAGACGTTTTAGAGGTCATATACAATTGTTTATCACATCAGACAACAAATCAATTACTGATTGTAAATCATTGTTTTTTGAGTGTTGATTTACAGTCGTTTTTTTAGTTGTTATAACAACTATTTTACCCATTGAATCTGGACAGGTTTGAGGCTAGATTCAGCCAGTTATGGGTAATTTATTTCAGCAAATTATCAACTATTAAATATGAAAATTAAAATAAAAATTTATATCATATTTTAATTGGATGTTTTTAACCCCAGTTTCAAGCCTATAATTAGAAGATTATTTTCAGTTTTTCAATTCATTAAAAAAACACTCTCGTCTTGCTTTCCAAAGCTTTTTGTTCTCCTAAATACTTTTGGGTGCTATGAGAAGAATAGTATCATTGTTGTCCACTCCAATCTACAAGTGTACAGTTATTCAAAGATACCGTGTTAATATCTGGAAACGACCTCCTACTAATGCGATTACACACATCGAGACAAAATCATTTCTAAGACATTGGTTTTTATCATAACACGATTATTTTGTTTTCTACTTATTTTATTTATTATTATCCCGTCAATGCTAACGGTTTGATTTTACAATCTCTTTACCAACAATCTCCATTATCATCGTCTAATTCCCAAACCCTGAGCCACAATAATCACCATTCATCCATAGTCACCCACCATTGTACACTCATAGCACCTTTGGTCATCGAAACTCTCGTCAACTAACCTTTCTCTATTATTTCCTCTATCGGAAGATCATGCATCACCACCAAACAAGACCTAATCTTTTTCAAACCTAAAACATGTGGAAAAAATCGAAACCAACATCAAAATCAATACAAAAAAGAATATGAGAGAACTAGAGAAGAAGAACCGCTCCTTATTTAGCGGCTTCGATTGACAAATTCTGAATCCTAACGCTGGTAAATTTGCTTGGTACGAGAGGGGTGACATAGTTTTAAGAATGTCCACCAATAATATTACCATGTTTTACACTTTTAATCTTCACATCGTCACTGAGATGAAAAATATTATTCATATTATCGTGTCATTTCGATTTAATGATTCAATGCAATAATTGAAATTAAAATTAAAGTTCATCTTACAATCATATCAATTTTCAATTTAATGGTAAAATCGATGTTAAACCTAAAATTTAATATTTATAGCACCATCAATACTATGTAATTTCGCCCTTCAATGTCCACCAATATCTTACTGTTTTACAACTTTCAATCTTTAATGTACACCATATTATTGTGTCATTTCGATTTAATGACTCAATTCAATGATTGAAATTAAAATTAAAATTCGATGTAACAATTCTATCAATTTTAAATTTAATAATAAAATAAATATTAAATCTAAAGTTTACTAGTATCTGATTTAATTTATTCATTTAACTAAAAGGACTATTAACCTATGCACCAATTGTGGAATAATATTTAATATCAATTATGTTCTCAAACCTTTTTGTTTTAAGACACATGAGTGCATCCTAAGTTCGTTTGTGGAATTATTTTATTAAATCAGAAAGGGTAAAATAATTTTCAAAAGTTAATTTTTATTAATTTAAATCGTGTTGACCCATTTTTACCTTTCCCCAAAAATATTTATTAAAGATGATAAGTTCATGATCTGGCCAGGTACATTTAATCAACCTTTAAAGTCCAGACCGGTATTATTATCATTATTAAGCAGCTCAAATTCGTTTAACGACATAATAATGGGTTTTTGCTTTGCATTAGTTTCTGAAAAAGTCAACCATAGTGTGTTAGACGTATCATTACAACTCCCCCTACCTTCATGTTTACTTTTTTTTTATAATTCTAGCCGAATATAACATTATATATATTCAAAGATTCTTAATCATTTGACAATAAATATTCATATTTCTACATATGTTATACTTGAACTTGAAACTTTAAAAGATAATCTTTTAACCACTAAAATCGTTTGATTCGTACCCCACGTTCACGTTGAATATAAAGCTATGTTCTATAATTATCGATTACCTTGATTTTTAACAACCTCCACAATTATAAGCATAGCTGGAATTTAATCTTCTTGTACTAACACATCAATTATGTTTAGTTTAATTATGATTCATTTTACAAGGAAAATTGAGTAATAAAATTCAATTGTCTGATGTTTCAAGTAAGTCTTCGTACATGCATACATACTTATACAATCAATTGGTCTAGTGGGATGGAACAATACTAGATCTCTTAAACATGGTTAGGAGTTTGAATCCTAACATATGCGAATGGAACAAACTAAGTTGAGAGGATCGTCATTGCCTCTGCAGTACCTGATCTGGATTAATCGATATAAATCAAATATTGCGATTATAAAAAAAAAGTAGAAAAGACATTATAAGTGGACATAACTTTTAGCTATGCTTATTAGAAATTTAATCAATGGATCAATCATGACACTCTCAAATGTAGAAAGTTGAAAGAGAGGTTTACCACCCAAGATCTATGTAAAAAAGATAAATTGGTAAAGTACATAAATAATCAAACAGATCGATGATTCTAATGACCTTTTTGCAATTTTTAAAATTTTAATGATTAGAAAAAATCATTTTAGTGGTAAAAAAGAAATTTAAGGGGGGAAAAGAAACTTTGTTAAAGGCAAATGGCCAATAAAGAAAGGAAGTAGAGATGTTTTTTTAGGGCTGAGGATGGGAAGAGAACAAAGGAAAAGACAGAAAGCGCAACGTCATAGTTATCCCCGTAGGGTTTCCCCCTCTTCATTAGTTTTGTGGTTCTGGCTTGTTGTTTTTGTACTGCTTGAGGATTACAGAGGAATCTCCTTTCATCCACATCTCTCTCTGTCTCTTTATCTGAGTTTTATCATGAACCGAGTCTTCTTTTTTCCGTAGTTCTTCTTCTTCTTCTTCTTCTTCTTACTTTCAATTCATACATACATACATGCATGCTTCTTTGCTTTTTTTGAGTTAAAGTTGTATGATGAAAATTATGGTATTGTTCATATGAGTTAAGCCCAGCTACTTGAGCATATATCAGTTATCAAAGTATCAATCTTTTTTATCACTTTGGTTTGGGTTTTGACTCTTGTGTAAAAAAAATCAAGATCCAAGGTCCATGTGATTCAAACGTGAGAGTTTTTTGTAAGATGTAAAGACGATGACAGGCTTGTTATTCCACCACCAACAACAAAAGCTGCAAGTTTTGGAAGAGAATATGTCTAATTTGACTTCTGCATCTGGTGAGGCAAGTGTTTCTTCAGGGAATAGAACTGAAGTTGGATACTTTGCTACTCCACCACCTCAAACTCAGCCAGTTAAGAGAAAGAGAAGCCTCCCAGGCAACCCAGGTTGGTTTATCTTCAAGCCCTTAGCACAGTTATTACTTTTGTTTTCCTTCTTAAAAGTTATCCATGTTTGATTTGAACCAGACCCAGATGCAGAAGTAATAGCTTTGTCCCCTAAAACACTGATGGCCACAAACAGATTCATGTGTGAGATCTGTGGCAAAGGGTTTCAAAGAGACCAGAACCTTCAGCTTCATAGAAGAGGTCATAATTTGCCTTGGAAGCTAAAGCAAAGAACGAGTAAAGAGGTGAGGAAGAAAGTATATGTGTGTCCAGAACCCAGCTGCGTGCACCATGACCCATCAAGGGCGCTTGGGGACTTGACTGGAATCAAGAAGCATTTCTTTAGGAAACATGGTGAGAAGAAGTGGAAATGTGAAAAGTGTTCCAAAAAGTACGCGGTTCAATCGGATTGGAAAGCTCACTCCAAGACCTGTGGCACTAGAGAATACAGATGCGATTGTGGAACTATCTTCTCAAGGAGGGATAGTTTCATCACTCACAGAGCCTTCTGTGATGCCTTAGCAGAGGAGAGTACGAGGGCTAACCCACTTGTGAAAGCGCAACACCAACCAGCTGGTGCAGCAGCTCAGCTTAATCTACATGTGCCCCAGTTCAATCCCCAAGATATCCGAGCATTTTCACTTAAAAAAGAGCAACAAAGTTTCACATCTGTAAGGCCAGAGATTCCTCCATGGCTCGTTACCCAACCAATGCTTGGGACTAGTCTGGGTCCACCCCACACGATTGACCTTTCCCCTTCATCATCGTCAATCTTCTTCCCAACATTAGATTATCATCAAGAATTCACACAAGCTCAGTACCATGATCTATCACTCCATGAAAACCATAACCCTAACCCAACTCTTCCTCCTTTCCATCCAACAACAACAGTGCCTTCCCCACACATGTCGGCTACTGCATTACTTCAGAAAGCAGCTCAGATGGGCGCAACCATGAGCACCAAAACTAGCTCATCATCGGCACCAGCTACCACCACTGCTACACCTGCGGTTGCCTCCTTGATCAGACCCCACCAACATACTCACGTGTCTGATGATTCTGCTGGTTTTGGCCTCAACTTGGCTCCACTTCAACACATGAGGAATTCTTTGTCGTCCGCCGCTGGATTCGACTCCGCTTCATTCGATGATATATCATTTTCTGGGATCTTCAACGCAAAGGCCGGTGGGAGTTTCATCGATGAACCATTCTCGAAAACAACTATACCAACAGAAACAACAAGATCTGCTGGAAATGATCACGAAACTACAGGCGCTACAAGTAATTCTCAAGGCGAAAGCTTGACAAGAGATTTCTTGGGTCTTAGAGCCATCTCTCACAGCGGTATTCTCAACAATGCTGGTCTTAATAACTGCATCAACACTTCGCATGAACAACAACGCAACCAAACTCAGCTACCACCTCAAGGCTAGGTATTATAGTAGCCTTCTTCTTTCCTCCAAGTACTGTTTCTTTCTTATTTCAAGTTTACGCTTTTACCTTTGCTACATTCTTCCCAAAGGGAAAGACCTCTGAAAATCAACTTCCTTAATTACATATGTTATATTTTTCCCTTTTGTTTCAAACTTAACGTCGTATATTCTTCACACACACGCATATATATAGCATGCAAATGAATACTTTGGGTGAATGTTATAATAACAATACATGAAAGCAACTTTGAGATGAATATGACATCCAAACTATGGATTTTGTTGGTTTTGCATTGTAATCGTATTTGTTAGGTGATTTATCAATGCTAGGTTTTGTAAAAATTATAAACCCCCACTAAAATTATCTACTATTAATATTTTTGTAAAAAAAACAATTAAATTGACTTTTTATTATTTAATTTTTATTGATAAAAATATAAAATAAGTATATTTTAAAAACATTTAATCAAATAATTTAAAATATATATTTTATAAATTTTTATTATTTAAACTATTTAAAATACTTATGATCAAAATTTAACTATTAAAAGATTATAAAAGATAATTTTAATAAAACGAAAGGTATATAATTATAAATTATAAATATCAAATTCGTTATTGGTGACTAAAATTATATTAGATAAAATTAAGCTGAAAAGGTAATAAAGAAGTTAAATGCAACTAATATAGTTGATTTAGGTGATAAACAGCTTGATATAGTTTAGACGAATTTCGAGTTCGAAATCTTATGTACGAAGAAGATACTTATCGAAAGACTTATCCCCCAATGTTAAATTAAGTGTGCAACTCGAATCAATTTGAATTAATTAAAACAAAACCATAAAAAATCGGGAGAATAATAAAAAAAAGTTAAACACAAAATTATTACATTTTTAATTTAATTTTAAATAACAATCTCTAGGTGTAGTGGTAATATTTTACATTGTAGGGCAGAAGAAGAGTTCAATCCTCATTTATCTTGTCCTTATCCCCCAATTATCAAATGTACGAAGTAAAATATTATATTTGAATTTCTTTGAGTGGATTAAGGTTGGAGCCTCATGTTGTACCACAGAGAAATTAACGTAAAATTTTATGTTAAGAGTAAATTTATAAAATTTTAAAGATAAATATATTTATAAAATTTTAGGGATAAAATTATTTTTTCAATAAAAAATAAAAAAATATAAAATATATAATAATCTAAAAGTTTTAGGGGGTGACCGCACCTTAGGTCCATCCATGGCACCAAATCTTCGAACTTTTAAAAACCTAATTCAATTGTGTATTTGATTTTTTTATTTAATATTTCGTCAATCAAATCTAATAGTTAAATCTAACTGATTTTTTATCGGATGATATCATATGTTTTAGATCACATATTGAGAGTATCATTTTTTTTATAAATTTATTAATTTTTAAAAATTATAATATTTAAAATATAAATATTTTTATGAAAAACTACAAAATATATGTGATAGAATTACAATGTGTTACATGATAATAATATCTTAAAAAATCATTTAAATTGAACTGTCAAAATTGATTAAATAGTTTAATATTGAATCTGTGTCTGAGTTCAAAAGTTAGTCAGATAAAAAAAAATTAAAAAATTAATTATTTTTTTCAAAATTTTAAATAATGTATATTGAACAAAAGAGTGTTTCATTATATTTAGACTTTTATTCTAAATTCTATCTATTTACACAATCATTGGTTGCAAGTTATAATTAAGAATTAGGTTATGTTTTTAGTGATTATAAGTTAATATATGTTCAAGATTTTTCTTAATCATTGATAATGCGTACATCCTCTATTAACACAGTTGCATGAATTCGGGACATCGAGAATTAGATTATATGTTTATGTTATAAATTGTCAGAAAGATTGCATTTATTTCTTGTTTGTCATGATGAAATTTAAGGCTAATATTTAGAATTTGTATTATTCTTCTCCAGGCCATTATGATTTTCAAGATTAACGATGTGAATATTTGGTAATTTTAGACATAACACAATTGCATGATATGGACATATGTATTATTTAAAATAATTTTAAAGGAACATAAAATATACATGGTATTAAAAATATACAAACACGGTTAAAAGTTAAATTATATAAATTTATATGAAATAAATAATAATATGATTATTAAATTAAAAATAAAAAATATTAATAACTCTATTGTTGTATCAATTTGTGACATTGACATCTAATTATCTATGGTTCAAACGTGCTTCTATTTCAATTATTAAAAAATAAAATGAAACACGAAGTTGACATTAAACACTAATTAACCTAATTGTCAATTTTGCACAAATTTTCAAGCATGTTGATTTTGGGAAGATATTTTTTAAAAAAAAATTCTAAATATAATCCTAATCTTATTCAGAGGAGGTGATTGTTTCTAGCTAATCTAGAATATATGTCCTAAGAAAATATGAGGAAACAAAGATGAACAACTTAATCAATCGCCCAAATGTACTTTCTCTAATTGAAGAGAATCCTAAATGCTCTTTTTTACACAAGAGACAATATGTATGATCTACAAAAGTTTGGTAACTTTCTATTTCATTTATTTTTGGCATAGCATCAAAATTAACCCCTAATATTTATTAAAATGATCATTTTGATTCTTATTCTTTTTTTGGACCATTCTAATCATAATGTTTCATTTTAAGGCACAAAATCCCTATTTTGGAGTGTTAATTGTTTCTTAACTAAGGGTTTCTATTCATGGAGGGATCTTTTTATCCCAAAGTAAAACGTTTGAGGTCAAAATAATCTAGAAATAATAAGAGTCAAAGTAACTATCTATTAATCAAATGTTAGGAAATTTTTTTAATTATGAATTTATTTTTTTCTCTTTAACACTTTGAATGATTTAAGTTTTTACCATAAAATAGCAAGACAAGTGTTGAGAGTGTGATTATGTAAATGCAAAATTTTGCATTGCAAGAAAACTCATGAATGATGCTTCCACCCACTACCTCTACCTATGTCCATACTCATGGTGGCCCCCAATCACTCCTTGTCTCCCACTTTTCATTACCCTCAAACTTAAAGTAATAATAATAAAGCTTGCTCAAATAGTTAAACAGATAAAAAGAGAACACTCATTATTCGTTGAATTATCAGAAGCTTAAGCAAATTTATACTTTTAAAAGATTAATTTTTTTAGAAAATATATCACATTTAAAAATTAAAAGGGATATAGAACACACAAACATGAGTGTAAAAGTTTTAATTAAGGGATGATGTGCACAGAAGCATTGGATTCTCAAAGAGAAAAGATTGGTGAAATGTTTATTAGATTTGCTTTTTTATTTACTGAAAATAAAAGAGAGATGGTTGCGTTGATTCCTCATGTGTTGGGTGCAAGTGGGATTCAATCCCGAGGAAGGATCCTTTCTATCTATTTGTCTCTATATATTAATATATTGGGTGATTTAGTACTTAACCTATTAATTTTTTTATTTGTTTTGATACTCAAATTTTATTTTTTTAGAAAAATTATACTTAGTATTTATGTTAGGTTTCATTTTGATATTATGTCGTTAAAAATTTAATTATAATGTTGACGTGTCATTATAAGATAATGTTATGTAATCATTGAAAAAAAAATATCACGTCAACAATTCTATTAAATTTTTAACGACAGTGTAATAAATTGAAACATAAACTAAACATTAGGTAAGTTTTTGGAAAAACAAAGCTTTGATACCAAAAATAGAACAAATGTAATAATTTAGATACTAAACTTATAGTTTATCCAATTGTAAATCTAAGATGTAATAACTTTAACTACAATTACCATGTGTAAGTTATTATTTGATTCAAGTATTTTTAGTAAATAAAATGTTTTTTAACTTATAAAACTAAATTTAATTAAACATTTAATATTAGTATAGATATATGTTTCTTGAAAATTCAAACTAAAAAAAAGTCTCCACTATAGACTATACCAACAAGACCCGAAAGGTTCCATAATAATTACTCAAAAGGTGTATAGTAGTGCTAAAGAAAGAGAAAGCATGTTTGTGCATAACCAAAATCTCTCTCCCTTTCTTTTTGTCCTTGAATATATTGCTGTTTAAATTATCAAAGAAAGCTATGATTAGCCCATCATAAGAAAAAGTAGTGTGAGAACCTTTACAATTAATGGAAATTTAAATAAATATATGAGCAATTATCTCAATAGTTAAAGAGAATGTTATTTATTTTAAAATATTTAAGTTCAAACAGTTATGTTTGTATGGTGTGTGTATTATATAGACTAAAATAATTATGAATAGATATATATTATCTTATAATCCTCCAAAAGTATTCAAATTAAAAAATAAATAAATATGTTGACAAATTTAAAATTGTCATTTGAAACTATTTAAATAATAAAAAGAAGAGATTCCTTCCCCATTTCCTCCCTTGATTTATGTTTATATTGTAATCTATGCTTGTTTATCTTCCCCTCAAACACACACTCACATGTATAGAAAATTAAAAGAATAAATGTTGGAGTGTGACATGTTTGCCAGTTTTTTTTTTTTTGTACATATTGGTTTTCTATTTTAACAAACATTAGTTGGAATGTTTTAGTTTGCATACACATGCACATAGAATTCTATCTAAGGACAGTATTACTGTAGAAAGAGATTAGTTTATGAGGATGAAAGTGGTGGGGTAAGCACAGTCCCCTCAAACCCATATGTAATGTCACATTTTTATATTTTTATTTGGTGGGAAGACAAAAATGTAAGTTTAAATCATGTTATGTATTACTTTTTTTAAAATGGAATTAAAAGTAATTTTCAGGATAAAAAATAATACAGAATAAACAAATTTTTAGCTCAAAAGATTTATGAAATAAAAGAATGAAAAAAATAAAGACAATAATAAGAAGAGACGTATAAATAAAGAGAGAGATATGTATTATTATTTCAATATGAACTTTGTAGAATGTTCTCTCTTAACTTCATATTTTTAGCCATAAAGACTAGATATCATATAGAACTCTAATCCTAATGAATATCAAAGTCATATTTTATACCTACTATTTTTTTTTAATAATCTAGAACAATTACAAGGTAGTATATATTTAGAAAATTTTCAAACTTTTATACGTAGTGTTCTAATCATAATAGACATCCACATAAATAAAATATTCATAACACTCC